ATCGATCCTATTATCTTTGCTCCAGGGATATCCTTAGCATTAAAGACGCAGATCACATTGAATGTTTCCCCTACTATTTTATTTCTACCGATTGTAACTGACAGGTGAATGCAGAGCGCATCCCAGCAGGGGCTGATAACTTTGATTGCTTTATCTATTCAGGTATGACTTCAATCTTCGTACAGGAGCACACAGTACAGAGTTCTACCCCTCGATTACAGTACCTCTTTTCACTGGATGTTATAACTCCCTGAATCAGGGAAAATCTGAACGACTATTTTCTTTAATGAAGGTAACTTTTAACACTGAAGATAGCGATTTTTTCAGCCACATTTTCTCGTTTATCTACAACTATTTTTATTCATTTGTTTTCACAGAAATTGGGAGTGTTGGAATATCCGGGTGGTGTTCCCACATCGATGATCCGCGATAGCGAAGAACAGTGGGATTTCCCAAACGGTTTCAGTCCTTTGAATCACATGATCGTCGAAGGATTAAGGAAAAGCCAGAATGCTCAAATGCAAGATGCGGTATGGATTTTTGCAATATTCAAAACCGAGAAGTCCAAATTGAATTGGCATAATATTCGTGAAATTCGATTCTAGCTTAAAATTAATAGTTATCTCTCGAATTGTGTCTAGAATAAATTCTCTCAAAAGAAAAGAGGGCAATCGTCATCGTCCGATCTCGTCTCAGTATAGGCCATGCATCCGACCTCCACTCAAGTTGTAGAATCTATTGAAAGGTGTTACACATATGATGATGACCTGTTGACAGAAACTAATTGTAGTAAACATTTCGTAACTCCTGTAATTTAAAGGAGGAATTCACGATTAGAATGAAGGTCGAAGAAAGGGAAACTGACCTAGTTGAGGGACCCACGGACCTCCTGAGGGTGCGAACTGACGCGCAATTCGCATGGAAAAATTTGACCTCGGCGACCTATCATGCCTCAAAGCTGGCGGGTCCGGCGATCTCCGCCCACCTGATCACTCGCCGTAGTTCAATACGTGGCGAGTGATTAGATAGCTGAGAGAGCGTAGTGTTGAAGAGGGCACAGCGATGAGAGTCGCATCAATGCTCAAATCAACGGGCAAGGAAGGGGTCCCATTTCTCGGGTTCTGGGCCGTTTCTCATGGTTCTTCCTTCTTTCGTGTACCACTCACCATCCCTAGGTTAATTTGAAATGGGTTGCTTTTTCATCGTGAATTCGTCCTTTAAGGAGTAGCTTCATTTGCCCAGGGCCTTCAGAACTGTTGCCGTTTTTGCGACAGCGTCCCTAACAACAGTGTCATTCTCAACGAGGTATTAAGGGCGAGGGAGCGGGCGGTAGATAGAGGAGGTGCCTTTGCAGCGCGTGTGCACATGTGGCCCCGTTCCTTGCGGAGATGCACTTTCATTCTTTGTAGTAC